CACCGAGTGGCCACGTAGTCTGTGAGCACTGGGTTCGAGGCCTTGTTCGATCCAAACATGCGCCCGCTTTTGGATTCTACCAAACAGGCTACAGAGATGCAAAGGGTTGTCTAGTATAGTATTCCCGTTCATCAGCTAGCAGGGAAAATCCCAAGATCGGTTTTTGCACTCACCGATGCCTCAGACACGTCTATTGGCCATTTGCAGCACCACTCCCGTAAAATCCATATCCTTGAAAAATTGCCACATGAACACAAATGCTAAGCAAAGAACAACACGTCTTGTTTCCACTGCCACGCGAAGCCCAGACCAAGGTCGTGGCATTGTCCTGCTGCTGGACAACACTTCTGGCCAGGCCAAAGTCGCAGACCTTCAAAGGGCAAAGGAGAAGTTTCGTGTCGTTCCCTCCGAGGGAGTTGGACGTGAAGAAAGGGCCCGTCTCTCGAGCTGTCTCACGAGCCCGGCATTGCCACATTGCTCGGAGTCCAGGCGACCCGTCTATTGTTAGACCACTGTTACCCGGGAAACCCCGCGCCGCTTGCTTGAAAACTTGCAACATGACCGTATGATGCAATACTGAAGTGTGTGAACACCGGAACTTAGCACAACAAGTCAACTTGCCTGCCAGTTAAAACTGGAATGGATAGGTCCAATCTGTGCTTGGCTGACCTTGATGCTGCCTATCGCCTCAAAAGGCCTAAGGTTTTCTTTGTGTGTGTGCTTGTGTGTGCTTGTGTGTGCTTGTGTGTGCTTGTGTGTGCTTGTGTGTGCTTGTGTGTGCTTGTGTGTGCTTGTGTGTGCTTGTGTGTGCTTGTGTGTGCTTGTGTGTGCTTGTGTGTGCTTGTGAGTGCTTGTGTGTGCTTGTGTGTGCTTGTGTGTGCTTGTGTGTGCTTGTGTGTGCTTGTGTGTGCTTGTGTGTGCTTGTGTGTGCTTGTGTGTGCTTGTGTGTGTGCTTGTGTGTGCTTGTGTGTGCTTGTGTGTGCTTGTGTGTGCTTGTGTGTGCTTGTGTGTGCTTGTGTGTGCTTGTGTGTGCTTGTGTGTGCTTGTGTGTGCTTGTGTGTGCTTGTGTGTGCTTGTGTGTGCTTGTGTGTGCTTGTGTGTGCTTGTGTGTGCGTGTGTGTGCTTGTGTGTGCTTGTGTGTGCTTGTGTGTGCTTGTGTGTGCTTGTGTGTGCTTGTGTGTGCTTGTGTGTGCTTGTGTGTGCTTGTGTGTGTGCTTGTGTGTGCTTGTGTGTGCTTGTGTGTGCTTGTGTGTGCTTGTGTGTGCTTGTGTGTGCTTGTGTGGGCTTGTGTGTGCTTGTGTGTGCTTGTGTGTGCTTGTGTTGCTTGTGTGTCTTGTGTGTGCTTGTTGTGCTTTGTGTGTGCTTTGTGTGGTGCTTGCGTGTGCTTGTGTGTCGTGTGTGTCGCTTGTTGTGTGTGTGTTGTGTGCTTGTGTGTGCTTGTGTTGTGCTTGTGTGTGCTTGTTTGTGCTTGTGAGTCTTGTGTTGGCTTGAGTGTTGCTTGTGTGGAATGCTTGTGTGTGCTGTGTGTGCGTGTGTGTGCTTGTGTGTGCTGTGTGTGCTGTGTTGCTTGTGTGTGCTTGTGTGTGCTGGTGTGCTGTGTGGTGCTTGTGTGTGCTTGATTGTGCTTGTGTGTGCTTGTGTGTGCTTGTTGTGTCTTGTGTGTGCTTGTGAGTGCTTGTGTGAGCTTGTATGTGCTTGTGTGTGGCTTGTGTGTCTTGTGTGTGCTTGTGGTGTGCTTGTTGTCTTGTGTGCTTTTGTGTGTGCTTGTGTTGCTTGTGTGTGCTTGGTGTGGCTGTGTGGGTGTGTGTGTGTGTGGTGGTGTGTGTGTGTGTGGTGTTGTGTGTGTGTGTGTGTGTGTGTGTGTGTGTGTGTGTGTGTGTGTGTGTGTGTGTGTGTGTGTGTGTGTGTGTGTGTGTGTGTGTGTGTGTGTGCGTGCGTGCGTGCGTGCGTGCGTGCGTGCGTGTGTGTGTGTGTGGGTGTGGGTGTGGGTGTGGGTGTGCGTGTGCGCGTGTGCGCGTGTGCGTGTGCGCGTGTGTGTGTGTGTGTGTGTGTGCATGTGTGTGTGCGTGTGTGCGCGTGTATGCGCGTGCGCGTGTGCGCGTGTGCGCGTGTGCACGTCTGTGCGTGTGTGCGTGCACTGTGCGTGTGTGTGCGTGTGTGCGTGTGTGCGTGTGTGCTCGTGTGCGTGTGCGCGTGTGCGCGTGTGCGCGTGTGCGCGTGTGCGCGTGGGCGTGTGGGCGTGTGGGCGTGTGGGCGTGTGGGCGTGTGTGCGTGCGTGCGTGCGTGCATGCGTGCGTGCGTGCGTGCGTGCACGCGTGCGCGTGTGCGTGCGCGTGCGCGTGCGCGTGCGCGCGCGCCGCGCGTGCGCGTGCGTGTGCGTGTGCGCGTGCGCGTGCGCGTAAGCGCGCGCGTGCGCGCGCCGCCGCGGGCGCGGGCGCGCAGCCGCGCGCGTGCGCGAGCGCTGCGCCGTGCGCGAGCGACGTGCGACGTGCGACCGTGC